TGAATTTACATGGTCTCTTGGAGTTCCTTGGGCTAGGCCTGACAGGATCATGTAAAAAAGTAATGTGTCCCATATTCATCTAGCAGTCAACTGAATGCTCATATCAATATAGCATACTAAAGATCCGGAACAGATAATGTAGATTTAAAAAAGAAACATCTTATTAAGCAATAGCTTTAAAAATACAACCAAACCCTTTGAGGAGATGATTGAATATAAACCAGAAATTGGGTAGAAATATTAGAGAAAAACTCTTACTCAGGTTTTACTGGTGGCATGCCAGGAGAGTGCATCCATGCATTCCAGTCAACTTTGTTAAGAACATCAACCTAGGAAAAAAACGGACAAGCCAGTCATCCAAAATATGGGCAGTGAACCAAAACTGCTTTTAAAGTCATATCAATTTATGACAATGTAACATACCCAGTTTCTTTAAAAATGTCACCAAAATGAACTATATGCAATTGAAAATATGAGAAGTCATCTAGTCTCCAGATTGTCAGATACAGATTTCACTCATAATGAATAGAATACTATTTATTCATTAACAACTAAATCATGGCCTGGCTTTGCTGGAAGCATGCAGGCACAAAATTGATAAATATCTAAATAAGACACTTTTTATGCACATAAGCACAGTTCTTCAAAAGTAGTACCTGTTCTGATCCCAAGCTCCATAATCCTGAATAGTCTGTGAATCTAAATTACTGCATTCTTTATCATTTTACTTTCCCATGCAGGAATCCTTATGACATATTTTGCTTTAACTTATTGATCAGGTTAGTTTGAACAACTCTGAAGAAATCAGTCATTGCCATAGCACTTCATTTTTCTAGAAATACCAGCTGCCAACGTAACTTTATTCCTGTACTTTGCTACCTGTCTGGATATGACCAAAGTTCATTTTTACTAAATAGTGCAAGGATAAGCATCTTGCTTTGTCCCAGGTTGCTGAATTTCCACTACCTGCAACCCTAGGAAATATGACCAGTGAGGAGTGATGTGGTTAGTTGCACTTCATCAATCTCTGGAGGATCACAGGCTGTCTACCCGCTGACAGAAAATGGGAAAATATAGATCACAGAATGACATTATTATAATAAATTCACTATTATCTTCTAAACTGATTACTGGTAAAAATACATGCTTTTATACGCAGTCTGCCGTTCTATTATCTAAATACATTACTTCAGTATGCTGAGTTTAAAAGACTAAAAAGTCACTCAAGTGGCTGCTAGGTGAGAAGGGACAGTAAGTAAACTAAGCTGTTTACTGATAGGACTGTGCATAAAGCAACTTCATTTCCTTTCATTCCTTTCTTTTAGTTTAAATTGTAAGGAAAAACCTTGAATGACAAGAGTAGCACCTAACCTTATCCTTGAAATAGGAGTAGAGGAAATTCTTCCAGTCTTCCGTCACTATACTCTTGTATGCAAACTGTTGGATATATGCCCTCAAGAAGCCAATGAAGATATCTGTGAGCGTATGATATATATTAATCAATAGCAGAATGCCTAGGCAAAAAAAGGTTATGTACTTTTAAAAATCAATTAATACCTGGTCCACCAAGGAGCTGCTCCAGATAAAGCAGTAGAGCAAAACCTTTCTCATATGGAACAGAAGAATATGCAACATCGGGGTCTACCTCCTTCAGACTAGGGATCAAGTTAGTCACTTGATTTGTGCTTCCAAGGGTGTTAATCTAGAAAAAAACACAGTTATGAAAACTGAGATTATTTCATTATAAACCAAACAGAACCCAACTGACAGTCTCCTTAACTATTGACTATTCTGTCAGACATTCAATCACTTTGAACTGCGGTTTCCCTGAGGCTACTTGTTCTAGAGGCTACTTCTCAATAAACCTACATCCAAATCCCAAACCTATAAAATAGGCATATCTTACACTTATGTTAGCTTCTAAATATTTACCCAGAATATAGCCAGAAGTCTCTGCACACACAATACCTTCAATGACTAGTTACATTTTAAAATACATGAAAGGTACTTTCTGAACTATACTGTGAGGAACTCACTTATCCTATTAGAATTGGAGAACACTTCAGTCTCATTTAAAGTTTAATGACAATCATTTTAAATTAGTGTCATTTAACAACTGCTATCATGAGTCTCTCATTAGCATATAACTTGTGCACTAATCAACAGGACACGTTACACCTCTGCTCTGCAAGCTGCACTGGCTACCAATATACTTCCAGATGCAATTCAAGGTGCAGGTAATGCCCTATAAAGACCTACATGGTGCAGGGCTGGGATATTCGAGGTACCGCTTCTTCCCAGTTACATCTAGCTATTGCATCAGATCCAGCAAGAGAGGCATGCTACAGGTCCCATCTATTAAGGAATGTCATCTGACGGGACCCAGAAAGAGAGTTTTTCTGCTGTGGTGCCCGCCCTTTAAAAATCATTCCCCCGGATTGGCCTCTACCCTTCTGGCTTTTAGGAAGGCCCTGGCTCTGCTATCACACTTGAGGGTCCAGTGGGAGTGGTGAGCCTCTTCAATGGTTTTACTGAATCAGATGTATCGATTGTATTTACCTGCCGGTTGTGATTAGATTTTGCGTTTGAATTTTTAACAGTAGTTTTAGTATGGTTGTATGTTGTTTTCATTTTCATTGTTCTTGCTGTTGTTTTTAATTGTGAGCCACCTAGAGTCACATATGTGAGATGGGAGACTATACAAACTGAATACAATAAAATAATAAAATAAAATAAAATAAAATAAAATAAAATAAAATAAAATAATCAGGTTCTTTCCTGGCTCATGAA